AATTCAAGCCCCACGTTGGGTGTAAAGATTACTTAAAAATAAAATCTTAAGGGGTCCCTGGGTGGATCAATCGTTAAGTGTCTGCCTTCGGCTGAGGTCATGATCCCAGGGTCCTGGGATCGAGCCCCACATCAGGTTCTCTGCTCCGCGGGAGGCCTGCTTCTCCCTCTCCCACTCCCCCTGCTTGTGTTCCCTCTCTCGCTGTCTCTCTCTGTCAAATTAAAAAAAATAAATAAAAATTTAAAAAAATCTTAAAACAAAAATGTGTGTTTTTCATACGTCATGGCCCCTAACCTACTTCACTGGGTGATTAATGGAAGAAACAGCCATCCGTGTCTACACTGCAGAGAAAACTGGCCAGCAGGACTTGGTGAGGGGTCACCATTAGAGATGTGGTCCCAGGGAATCCAGTATTCATGCCATCAACATGCAAGTCATCAAATGGCATTTCATGTTCCAGTAGCTGCTTGATGACCAGCCAAGTAGGTGATAAGAGTTTAGAGAGACAGAAAAGTATTACAGTTATGGCTGGAAGACATGAACTCCAAAGACATAGCTATTGATGGCAAAACTCTTCTTTTTTTTTAAGATTTTACTTATTTATTTATTTGAGAGAGAGCGAGAGAACGATTGGGGGAAGGAGCAGAGGGAAAGGGACAAGCAGACGCTGCACTGAGCTTGGAGCCCAAAGCGGGGCTCGATACCATGACCCTGAGATCATGACCTAAGCCGAAATCAAGAGTTGGAGGCTTAACTATTGATGGCAAAATTCTAAAAGAAAAGGGAAACAAGCCCTCCCCCAAAGAAGGATGGCCTTCTGATAAACAGCTCAAATCCACCCCAGGGGGGTTGACACATTTTAGAACCACTTATGTGAAAAAATGTGCTGTGTTGGCAAAGTTGCATCTAGTGATAAAAGAGGAAAATCATTTCCCTAAATAAAGAAATCATAGAAGAAAATTGTTCTCTCTGGGACAGATATTTTTTGCTTCCTAAGATGATTTTGACTATGCATGAATTTGCCTTTGGGCGTGCCTACTTCCATTGTAAGATGGGACTCTGTTGTGTAAGAAGGGTTTTTTGGTTTGTTTTGTTTTTTAAAACAGTGTTTGAATTAGTTTACTCTGAAAGATACTGGTCAAGAATATCAGTTTCTTAGTCACAGTTTCCTTTTTTTCTTAAGTAGGCTTCACACTCAACATGGGGCTTGAACTCATGACCCTGTCGCATCCTCTACGGACTGAGCCAGCCAGGAGCCCCTCTTAGTCACAGTTTTATTTATTTATTTTTTTTTAAAGATTTTATTTATTTATTTAACAGAGACACAGCGAGAGAGGGAACACAAGCAGCGGGAGCGGGAGTGGGAGCTAGGGAGAAGCAGGCTTCCCTCTGAGCAGGGAGCCCGATGCGGGGCTCGATCCCAGGACGCCGGGACCAAGACCTGAGCTGAAGGCAGACGCTTAACGACTGAGCCACCCAGGCGCCCCTTAGTCACAGTTTTAAATAGTAATAACGTATTAAAGGGTTTTAAATGCTAGTTTATTTTTAGAACAGTGCAAATTTATCCATATTAGTCCTTTTTAAAAACAAATATTCGCTTTATCTTAGATAAAAATTGAACACATGTTCAATATATTTAAAGGCTCATTTTTAAATCTTTGTAACTTCCAATGGGAAAATAATTTCACGTTTCAACCAAGTAATGCCATTGATTTCTAAAAGCGTAGACAGGACTTTGGAGTGAAAGCTCCAGTTTCACCAACAGACTTATTTTGCATAAAATAAAAGTCATTTCAAGTTGTGCCCTTATGAAAGAATTTAATCTGAATTCTTAATGGTGCATTCTAGAGACTGATTTCCCCAAAAAAGAATTACATAACCCATAGGATGGACCATAAAATTTCTGAAAATAGAAATGTACAATAATTGACACAGAGTATGGTCAGTTTCTAAAAATAATTGTTAAAATTTTGAAATAATCTTGAACTTCCTGAAAAGTTGGGAGTATGGTACAAAGAACTTCTATTTTTTCTGAACCATTTGAGAGAAATTATCAACCTGTGGCCCCATTATTCCTGAATACTTAACAGTATATATTTCCTATCAACAAAAATATTTTACATAACAGCAGTATTACAAAGTTAACCCAGGGCTGCCTCGGTGGCTCAGGCAGTTAAGCATCTGCCTTCAGCTCAGGTCATGATCCCAGGGTCTTGGGATCGAGCCCCGCATCGAGCCCCGCATCGGGCTCCCTGCTCAGTGGGGAGCCTACTTCTCCCTCTCCCTCTGCTGCTCCCCCTGCTTGTGCTCTCTCTTTCTCTCTCTGTCAAATAAATAAAATCTTTTTTAAAAAGTGAACTTTCCAAAAAATATACCTTGATTTTAAAAATTTGGGGGGTGCCTAGGTGGCTCAGTTGGTTGAGTGGCTGGCTCTTGATTTTGACTTCAGTCATGATCTCAGGGTCCTGGGATCAAGCCCCATGGTGGGCTCCAAGGCAAGTCTACTTTGAGGATTCGCTACTCCTCTCCCTCTGCCCCTCCCCCTGCTCACATGATTTCTCTAAAATAAATAAATAAATCTTTAAAAAAATTTTTTTAATGACATGAACAGGTATTTCAAAGAAATGAAATGTAATCCCAGTGAGGATTTAGTTTACAGCAGTTATAAAGAATTTTTTTTGAGAGATCGTGAGCAGGGGTGGGGCGGTGTGGTGAGAGGCAGATAGAAAGGGAGAGAATCTTAAGCAGGTTCCACACTCAGCGTGGAGCCCGACCCAGGGCTCAATCCCACAACCCTGAGTTCATGACCTGAGCCAAAATCAAGAGTTGGACACTCGACCAAACGAGCTACCCAGGCGCCCAGCTAAAGAATTTTTTATAGGGCGCCTGGGTGGCTCAGTTGGTTAAGCGACTGCCTTTGGCTCAGGTCATGATCCTGGAGTCCCAGGATCGAGTCCCGCATCGGGCTCCCTGCTCGGCAGGGAGTCTGCTTCTCCCTCTGACCCTCTTCCCTCTTGTGCTCTCTCTCTCTCATTCTCTCTCTCTCAAATAAATAAAATATTTAAAAAAAAAAAAGAATTTTTTATAATAAAAACTTTACTCAAAAGGAGACAGTGAATGATCATTTTGACCATTTTTCTTCTTGCTGAATAAAATCTGCAGACACGAACAATGTTTGAGTTCAGGGATGGGTGCTCCACTGAGAGACTTCTGAACTTGGAGGTTATTTTAAGGACATAGAAGGCCATGTCCTAGTAATTTTTTTCATTTTATAAACTACCTACATGTAAGTAGTTTATAATGACAGACTTCTCCTTGTTCTCAAATATGGATGTGATAAGGAAAGTCAAAGTTTTATTTTAAGATAATTATTTAAAAGCTTCAAATTGGGGATGCCTGGGTGACTCAGTCTGTTGAGCATCCAAGTCTTGATCTCAGCTCAGGTCTTGATCTCAGGGTCATGGGTTCAGGCCCCGTGCTGGGCTCCACACTGGGCAGGGAGCCTACTTAAAAAAAATAATAAATAAAAAGAAAAAGTCCAAATTGAAGCGTGTGTATTTCCTAACTTGTTCATGGCCAGGTCATGCCTGGTATGAAGTCCCATTCTCCTTTCACATTCTATTTCATAGTAGAGAGACTGATTTATTAAAAAAAAAAAAAAAAAATTTAAGTAGGCTCCATGCTGGGAGCCTCCCAACACAGTGCTTGAACTCACGACCCCGAGATCAAGACCTGAGCTGATATCAAGAGTCGGATGCTTAACCAAACTGAGCCACCCAGGTGCCCCAGATGTATAAAAATTTTTAACCAAAGCAATTTGATCGCCCTCTCCCTCTGCCTGCCACTCCCCCTGCTTGTGCTCTCTCCCTCTCTGTCAAATAAATAAATCTTTAAAAAAAAGAGAGAGAGACGTATGTGAATATTTCTGAATAACCTTATACAACCACCATAATTCACTCCCTTTGATCTATCTTTCGACTTCCTTCCATGTACCTATTCATGTTATCTGTTAATTTATCTTTTGCTTACAAATATAATTAATCCAGCTGCTTTGGGGCCATGACAGAGCTAGTAGTATTTCTTTAGAATGCTCTACTTCAAAAAATCCTCTTTATGGGGGTGCCTGGATGGCTCAGTTGGTTGGGCATCTGCCTTTGGGTTGTGATCCCGGGGTGCTTGTGTCGAGGCCTGCGTTGGGCTCCTTGGTCATTGGAGAGCCTGCTTCTCCCTCTCCCTCTACTGCTTTCCCTGCTTGTGGTCTCTCTCTCTCTCTTTCTCTCAAATAAATAAATTTTTAAAAAATCCTTGTTATGGTGTTAGAGAAATTTTTTCAGAGACATCTTGGGATGCTACCTTGATTTAGAGCTCGGAGGAATTTTGAGTGAGCTTTTATGCCAGAGAAATCTTAGCTGGGATCATCTCTTCCCACCTTGAGTGTACAAACCCACTTCTCTCTCTTATGTGGCTGGGAGTCAGAATGTGGTGTCGGGCACTAACGTCATTGGGAAGTGGTTAACATGCTTCTCCAGCAAAGTACTTGAATTTATTTTGCGAGGAGATGATGTCCAGGTTTAGTGGAAAACACCCTTCATGAAAATTAGCATTCCTAGCCAGAGATCTTGGGCAAACCACTTTACGTCTTTATTTTTATTTTTATTATTATTATTTGTTTGAGAGAGAGAGAGTGAGCAAGAGAGCACACAGGAGCAGGATGGGGGGCAGAGGGAGAGGGAGAAGCAGACTCCCCACTGAGCAGGGAGCCCGACGTGGGACTCGATCCCAGGACCCTGGGATCATGACCTGAGCTGAAGGCAGGCGCTCAACCAACTGAGTCACCCAGGCGCCCCAAACCACTTTATGTCTTTAGTTAGTTTCTTCACCCGTAAAGGGAGGTTGGAACTAGGTCATCGGTGAGGACCCTCGCAGCTCTAAACGCATGCTTAGAGGATACTGTGGATTTCCACTGCTCACTTTCTTGTTACTTCTCTTGGACAGGGATCATGGCTCAAGTGGAAGTGTCTGCCCTGCCTGTGGAAACCGAGGAGTCCTCGGAGAGCAGGATGGTGGTGACGTTCCTCGTGTCTGCTCTGGAGTCCATGGTGAGGCGGTCTGCCGTTCTATAAAATGTCCCCCAGTTGGACCACTGTCGAAATAGCAGAGCTGGGGGCGCCTGGGTGGCTCAGTCGTTGAGCGTCTGCCTTCGGCTCGGGTCATGATCCCGGGGTCCTGGGATCGAGCCCCGCATCGGGCTCCCTGCTCCGCGGGAAGCCTGCTTCTCCCTCTCCCACTCCCCCTGCTTGTGTTCCCTCTCTCACTGTGTCTCTCTCTGTCAAATGAATAAATAAAATCTTAAAAAAAAAAAAGAAATACCAGAGCTGGGCCACATTTCACTCTGTCTATTTAACTGTAGCCTTCTTCACAGAGGTCCCGGGCTCATCAGGTCACCGTTAAAGGCATTTCTTACGCTATGGATGTAATTATATCAACATGAGCTTTCCAGATCTGAAAATTTAATGAGGGCGCCTCTGTTCCTTTGTTTGAGAATGTTTTTGCTCTGAATTCAGAGGTAAGCTGATAGTCCATTGTTAGCTCCAACGTGTAAAATGGACCTTGTGGGTGAAAACCTGGTGAGAAATGTCCATAACCTCAAGGAATCCGATCACAAGATGCTTATTGATTAGAAAGGGAAAACCAGCACCTTATAAAAGTGGACAAGCCTGAGAGACACCCCCTTCTTCAGGCCATCAGAGTGTACATCAGCAGTAATGGGACAGACTGGCGTCATGTGCCTCCCAACATGATGCGCCAGGAAGGGGCTTTGCCAATTCTGTGGCATTCCTGCCAAAAACGCATGACCGGAATCTAATGGGGGAACACCAGACAAAGCCAAATTAAGGGACGTTCTACAAAATGACTGGGCTGGACTATTTTTTTTCTCTTAAGATTTTTTTCTTTATTTCGAGAGAGAGAACGAGAGGGGGGGTGAGTGGAGGGGAGGAGCAAAGGGAGAGGAAGAGGGAGAGAGAATCTCAAGCAGACTCTGTGCTGAGCATGGAGCCTGACGTGGGGCTCGATCTCATGCCCCTGAGATCATGACCTGAGCTGAAACCAAGAGTCGGATCCTTAACCTACTGAGTCACCCAGGTGCCCACAAGAGTGATATTTTCAAGGAGCATCAAGAAGTCCAGTAACACTGAAGCAGGGGGAGAAAAGAAGAGGTGGTCAGAGGTAAGGTTCATCAGTGGCCAGATCATGTAGAGCTCTGGGCCTTTCTCTGCAGGGTGGTGGGAAGCGTTTGGACGGTTCTGAGTGAAGGAGTCATTCGGGGGTGTGGTGCTTGTGTGGACAGTCGGTGAACGTAGAACAAGAGTGGGGTGCTGGGACACCAGTTAGTGGGCTAAGGCTATGGTTCAGGCGGGAGATTTCGGTGGCATGGACGAGGCTGGGAATGATGGAGGTGGGAAGAAGTGATGCTTCTAGAAGGATCTGTAGAGTTGACAGGACTTAGCAATAGATTGGATGTGAGTTGTGAGGTTTTCTTGGGGGGAAAATTAAGAGTTTTGGTTTTGGTTTTTACGGTGGTAAGATAGAGATCATAAAATTTACCATTTTAACCACTTTAACCAGTTCAAGGGCATTAAATACATTCACCTTGTCATGTAATTGTCACCACCATCCCTCTCCAGAGCTTTTTCATTTTCCTCAACTGAAACTGCACTCATTGAACAAAATTACTCCCCACTCGCCCCTCCCTCAACGCTCCGGGAACTAAGATGTTGTTTTTTGGGGGGGAGGGGCACCTGGATGGCACAGTCAGTTAAGCGTCCAACTCTTGATTTCAGCTCAGGTCACGATCTCCAGGTCGTGAGATTGAGCCCCGTGTTGAGCTCCGCACTCAGCGGGGAGTCTGCTTGGGATTCTTTCTCCATCTGCCCCTCTCTCTCTCTCTCTCTCTCTCTCGGTCTCTCATGAATAAATAAATGAAATCTTAAAAAAAAAACAACACAGAAGTTCTCTCTGGTCAGGAATATACCTACCAATGTAGCATATGCAGTTATAAATACACCACACATTCTTTTCAGTCTTTGGAAGGATTTACACAAAGTAAATTTAACGGATTTCTTGTCTGTAGGACATACACCTGTAGCACTATGATGAACAGGAAATGTGTCTTATGTATGAATTTTCACCTGTTGTGCATCCCTACCATCAAAAATAAAAACATACTCAACCAGGTTGGAGGAAATACTAAGTTATCTGTCTATTCTCTCTATGGAAAATATTATAAAATTGTTGTCGTAGGAAGAGGCAGTCGAAGAGTCTGTAGCCAAAAATATAGGGGAAAAAGACCTGTTGGAAAGGCAGGTAAAGATACTGGCCCCAGTTCTGACAAGCAACAAGAATTCTCTGACAGCCACTGGGTGTCCTACAATTTGACTCAGTTCTGACTCAGTCTATGTTGAGAGAGCATAAGATCCCGCAGGTTAAGGGCTCCACCCTCCAAGGCCACCCCTCACTTCAGACGCTAACATCAAGTCAAGGTTGTCACCTGTGCTCCAGACCTACGGCTATAGATCGGAGGTTCCAAAGAGCGCCCCCTCCTTGGGTGCGATTAATTTGCTAGAGCAGCTCACAGAACTCAGAGAAACAGTTTACTTACTGGATTACCGGTTTATTACAAAAGGATGTGACTCAGGAACAGCCAGATGGAAGAGATGCGTAGGGCAAGGCATGGGGAAAGGGTGTGGAGGCTCCATGTCCTCTCCCAGTTAACCACTCTCCCTAAATCCCCATGTGCTCACCAGCCGGGAAGCTCCTGATGCTGTCCTTTTGGGGTTTTATGGAGGCTTTATTACATAGGCACGATTGATTAAATTACTGGCCACTAGGGATTGAACTCAACTTCCAGCCCTTCTCCCCTCCCCAGAGGCCAGGGGGCGGGGCCGAAAGTGCCACTCCTCCAGTCACATAGTTGGTTCCCCTGGCAACCAGCCCCATCAGGTGCCCTCATTAACCTTGACATTAACCTTGACAAAAAGATCCCTTTGTTGCTCTCTAGGAAATTCCAAGGGTTTTAGGAGCTCTGGGCCAGGAACAGTGGATGAAGACCAAATATATTATTTATTGTTATAAACCACAGTATCATAAGTTAATAAAAATATTAACTTAATAAGTTAATAAAAATATGTTCTCTGGGTTTTTGATGTTTATGGTATTTGCTTGGTGGATTTGTTTCTTTGTCTTGGAGATTTTTCTCATTCTAAATGAATACTCATTTTTGTACCTAATTTTGTATTTTTCTTAAATTTAATGTCTATGCCCACCATGGGGCTCGAACTCACAATCATGATATCAAGAGTCACATGCTGTACCGACTGAGCCAGCCAGGCGCCCCCGTGTTCTTTTCTTAAAACAGATCTCTCAGGCTCCACAAGATCTGGATCTGCCCTGGTATATAACACTGTATTCTTTGTTTCTATTTCAGTGCAAAGAGTTGGCCAAGTCCAAAGCAGAAGTGGCCTGCATTGCCATGTATGAGACAGACGTGTTTGTCGTTGGAACCGAGAAAGGACGTGCTTTTGTCAACGCCAGGACGGATTTACAGAAGGATTTTGCAAAATACTGTAGGCGTCAACAGTTTTATCCTTTGTATTCATAACTCTTAAAATATTTGCTGGGAAGACTTATGTAATGTTTTCTTTTAAGGTATCCTAAGCATTATCCTAAAAGTGCTTCTGATACATCTCTTTTGACTTGGCATCCCAGTGAGTAGCTGCCCAACACTGAGGAGTCCAAGAAACGGGGCCACATGTATTTTGTCCTGTGTCCTCAGCAGCACCCTGGTTTTGTCAAAGAAATGTGAGGAACATAGAGTAAATTATCTTTGACTCCTTTTATAAACCCACATTTTAAAAAAATTCTGGGGCGCCTGGGTGACTCAGTCTGTTGAGTATCCGGCTCTTGGTTTCAGCTGGGGTCATGATCTCAGGGTCGTGAGATCAAGCCCCGTGTCGGGCTCTGCACTCAGCGTCAAGTCTGCTTGAGATTCTTTCTCTCTCTGCCCCTCCCCCCCACATGTGCCTTCTCTCTCTTTCTAAAATAAATAAATAAAATCTTTTTAAAAATTCTTAATTTAGGGGCGGCTGGGTGGCTCAGTCGTTAAGCGTCTGCCTTCGGCTCAGGTCATGATCCCATGAGCCCTCACTGGGCTCCCTGCTCAGCAGGGAGTTTGCTTCTCCCTCTCCCACTCCCCCTGCTTGTGTTCCCTCTCTCGCTGTGTCTCTCTCTGTCAAATAAATAAATAAAATCTTTTTAAAAAAATTCTTAATTTACTTGTTCCCAAAGGAAAGGGAAAAACTCAGGGCTTGTTAGGTATTCCTCTGAGTTAATAACCATTTTCCCTTTTTCCACTCTGGGACCTTCAGAGCCTTCAATGTGTTATGAGTGGCAAGGATCGCTGATGAGCATATGGGGCCATATATGACGGAAACTAGTCTAGGGTGTTAAAACCTACACCTTGTATAGTGATGATTTCTACCATGGTAGGTCATCTACCAAATACTGAGTTAGCACCTTAATATTTTCTGGAACCAAGAAAGGGGAAAAAAAACACAAAGATTTATCAGAGGATATAATGTGAATGTGAGTGTGGAGAGAGAGGACGGATATAGATGTAGATGTTTCCAAAGGTTGGTCAGAGGTCATATGGACATAAATGTATATTAACATATGTCAAGTTCATATATAAATCGGAAGGAGAGAGGGATTGATTGATTGAGATTGGTTTCCAAGACCAAAATTAGGGTCTCCATTCTCAGGAAGATAGTTTCAAATATGAAGCAATCTTTAAATAATACAGTGAGTGTATAATTGATGAACAGGAAGAGTATTCTCATTTCATTAATATCAGCTGCCAGTTGAATTTTTTTTAAGATTTATTTATTTATTTGAGATAGAGAATGAGCATGAGCCAGGGTTGGGGGGGTGCAGAGGGAGAGAGAGAAGCAGACCCCCTGCTGACACAGGGCTCAGTCTCACGACCCTGAGATCATGACCTGAAATGAAACCAAGAGGCAGACGCTTAACCGACTGAGCCACCCAGACTCCCCACCAGTTGGATTTCTAATTGTTGACATTTCATGCCAGATTTTTTTCAAGTTTCACAGTTGCATGCTGATTTTTCAGATATAGGACTATTCATACTTTCTAATTCTTCCAGTACCCATCTCAGTAAACTTCACGTTCAACTTCATTTTTAACTAGTTCATTTCATGTAAGTTGTCAAATTTGGTGGCAAAAAATGGTTTATAATATTTGCTTTGTAATTTTAATATCTGTGTTGATGCCTCTACTTTTGTTCCATGGTGAAGGTCTTCCCATACCATGTCTGTTACTTTCAGAACTATATAGCAAATAACATTTCTGTTATCATTTCCTTTGAACTACTACTATTCCCTGTGTGTTGAATTATTTATGGTTCTTTATCAATAGATTCATTTCAGAGGTGATCACTGTTATATTATCCTATCCATCATAAATACCCTGTTCTTTGTGTTTTTTTAATTTTTAAATTTTTATCTATCTGTCTATCTATTTTAGAGAGAGAGAGAGCATGCATTAGTGGGGGTGGGGAGGGGCAGAAGGAGAGAGAGAGAATCTTACACAGGCTCCATGCTAGGTGGAGCTGAACATGGAGCCCGAGGCGGAGCTCGATCTCATGACCCTGAGATCATGACCTGAGCTGGAATCAAGAGTTGGATGCTTAGCTAACTGAGCCACCCAGGCACCCCCAATTTTTTTTTTAAGATTTTATTTTTTAAGTTCTCTCTACACCCAACGTGGGGCTTGAACTTACAACCCTGAGATCAAGAGTTGCATGCTCTACCGATTGAGCCAGCCAGGCGACCCATCTCTGTGGGTTTTCTTAATTAAAAGATCTTGTTTTGGGGCACCTGGGTGGCTCAGTCAGAAGAACATGCGACCATCTCAGGGTCGTGTGTTCAATCCCCATGTTGGGGGTAGAATTTACTAAAAAAAAAATCGTGTTTTATGTTTGTTCATTCTTCCCCCTTTTTCCTCTACAAATACCAGAAGCATAGACATTAAGGGAGTGCACGAGACAAGTGCTTGGATAATGAGTCTGTGCCTGTCACTCACTCACAGGCATTGCCGAAGGGGCGGAGGCCAAGCCCCCATGCCCAGCGAACAGGATGCAGATCGATTCAGGAGAAATGGAAATACTCAGAAAAGCGGTCGAGGACTATTTCTGCTTTTGTTACGGTAAAGTTCAGGTCAAGCATTAATTCTCTGAATAGTTCACTAAGGAATAGGACAGTGTTACAGATCACCTTATTGGTGTGACCCCTTAGATGCCTCTGATGCTTAAAACTCCACATTCTCTTTAAGGGAAGAGCCAGTTCTTCAGGACCAGAATAAGTCTTTTTTTTTTTTTTTAAGATTTTATTTTATTTATTAGAGAGAGAGAGAAAGCACAAGCAGGGGGGTGGCAGGCAGAGAGAGAGGGAGAAGCACGCTCCCCACTGAGCAGGTAACCCAATGCGGGGCTCGATCCCAGGACCCTGGGATCATGACCTGAGCCAAAGGCAGACACCTAACCCACTGAGCCACTCAGTCACCCCAGGACTGGAGTAAGTCTTACAGAAGACAGCTTGATCTCTTGTGGTCAATGGAAAGCTCTGATTGACCAGACTTCAGTCTTCATTATTTGCTCCCGTTTTAGGGAGCCCCCAGTGGAGGTCCAATGCAATTACAGTTGACCCTTGAACAACGCAGGGGTTAGGGGCAATGACCCCCGGCACAGACAAAAATCCGTGTCTAACCTTTGACTCCCCCCCAAACTTAACTACTAATAGCCTACTGTTGACGGGCAGCATTACTGGTAACAGAAATAGTCGATTAATACATATTTTGTATGTTATGTGTATTATACGATGTATTCCTACAATAAAATAAGCTAGAGAAAAGAAAGTGTTATTTAGAACATCATAAGGAGAGACTCATGGGTGGCTTAGTCGGTTGGGTGACCCCACTCTTGATTTTGGCTCAAGTCATGATCTCAGGGTCCTGAGATCGAGCCCTGTGTCGAGCTCTGTGCTCAGTGGGGATTCTGAGATTCCTCTCCCTCTGCCCCCTCCCTAGAATAAATAAATAAATAAAATCCTTAAAAAAAAAAAAAGAGGGGTACCTGGGTGGTTCAGTCGGTTAAGCGGCTGCCTTTGGCTCAGATCATGACCCCAGGGTCCTGGGATCAAGCCCCACGTTGGGGTCCCTGCTCAGCGAAGAGCCTGCTTCTCCTTCTCCCTCTGCCTGCCACTCTGCCTACTTGTGCTCTTTTTCTCTCTCTCTGACAAATAAACAAATAAAATCTTTAAAAAAAAAATCCTAAGGAAGAAAAACCACGTTTACAGTACTGTGCTGTATTTATTGAAAAAAATCCATATATAGGTGGACCTGTGCAGTTCCAACCCATGTTTTTCAAGGGTCAACTATGTTCATTGCTATTTTGGGCACCAACGTCACCGTCATTGGTCTCTCCACCTACTCATGTCTTTCACAAGCATTTAAGATGGGGAATTTTTTTTTTAAGTCTATTTATTTATTTATTTTACGTAATCTCTACACACCCAATGTGGGGCTCTCACTCATGACCTCAAGATCAAGAGTTGCATGCTCTTCTGACTGAGCCATCCAGGTGCCCCAAGATGGGGATTTTTTTTAATACCTAACACAGTATTTTCAGGGGCGCCTGGGTGGCTCAGTTGTTAAGCGTCTGCTTTCGGCTCAGGTCATGGTCCCAGGGTCCTGGGATCGAGCCCCACGTCAGGCTCCCCACTCTGCGGGAAGCCTGCTTCTCCCTCTCCCACTACCCCCTGCTTGTGTTCCCTCTCTCACTGTCTCTCTCTCTGTCAAATAATTAAATAAAATCTTTAAAAAAATAAAAAAAAGCTAGGTAACCAAGAAAAAGAAAAAGCTAGGTAACCGAGAGGGGCACCTGGCTAGCTCAGTCAGAAGAGTGTGTGACTCTTGATCTCATGGTTGTGAGTTTGAGCCCCGCATTGGGGGTAGAGATTACTTAAAAATGAAATCTTAAAAAAAAAAAAAAAAAAACGCTAGGTAACCAAACAGCTACACAGGTGTTGTATTTAGTTGCGATATAAGCACCTTTCTTAGCATCTCAGGGTCTTGTTTGTCATTTTTAAAGAGATCTTCACATATTTATGGGACCTCCAGGTCCCTGTGAGCATTTGGCTGTGGGGGACCCTCAACATAGGGGATCTTGGGGTCTCAGGCTACACCTCTCTGAGAGAAATGGGGCTACTCCCCTGGGGGGCTGGTCAGCCAGCACGGGAAGGCTGACACGGCCCCAAGATGGTGATGTGAGGCCATATTGACTTCATAACTTCTCTGCAGGCAAGTTGGCCTAACTCGAACAGAGTGACATAAGGGACATAGGGACAGTTAAGCTTTGGGTGGGGGCTCCCATGCCTTGTCGACAGCAGCCTGAATAACCATGGGGTGCTCCCTGCAACCCTGGGTGTGCCACCTCCAACAGAATGGAGAAAAAAGACCTGTTATTCCCTCTTTCTTATGTGAAGATGTAAAGTAAAACGTTTTATACATTTTTCCCTGGGCCCTTTGGGAATGTTATTAACTTAGGTTGTAAGGAACAGGTCACTTTAGCTTTTATTTTAGCTTCAAAGCCAAGTGTCACCACCTGTATTTCTTTACTGCACAGAATGAAACAAACCGGTAGGGTTTATGTTCATTCCGTCTAAAGGCATCTGGACTCTTCCTCTAGGTAAAGCCTTGGGGACAACGGCAATGGTGCCTGTTCCGTACGAGAAGATTCTGCGAGACCCTGGGGCTGTGGTCGTGCAGGGGCTTCCAGAAGGCATGGCCTTTCAACATCCTGAGAACTATGGTCTCGCCACCCTGAAATGGATCTTGGAGAACAAAGCGGGGATTTCTTTCATCATAAACAGGTGGCAGGCTCTGTCCCCCTCGTAACAGCTAGTTCTTTTGAGGATAAATGGGCAGCTTAATTTCAAGTTCGTTTGTTCATTAAGTCCTGTTACACTTAGAAGCTGGTTATTCAGAATTTTGATCTGTCTTGCTTGTGTGTTCATGTCGGGTAATAGTATCGGTTTTCTTGCAGACCTTTCCTAGGTCCAGCGAGTCAGCTAGGTAAGTGACAGCTTCTCATACTTGGTGACTGTCCTTGGCTGCTAAGCCAGTTCTGCTTTTCTTTTTTTTTTTTTTTTTAATTTTTAAAAATTGTTCTTTTTTATTTTAATTTATTTTATTTTTTTAAAGATTTTATTTATTTGACAGAGAGAGACACAGCGAGAGAGGGAACACAAGCAGGGGGAGTGGGAGAAGCAGGCTTCCCGCTGAGCAGGGAGCCTGATGTGGGGCTCGATCCCAGGACCCTGGGATCATGACCTGAGCCGAAGGCAGACGCCTAACCCACTGAGCCACCCAGGTGCCCCCAGTTCTGCTTTTCTTAATTAAAATGCAAGTTTGGCACATTCTAAAACTTGTGTATTCCTTGCCTTCTCCCCATGAAGGAAGCAACCTCTGACACTCCAGGGTTGGGGGGTCGTGGTGTTGGCAGGGTGTGCAGCTCAGGGAAGGACCCCCCCTCCGCCCCCCAACAAGAGCTGAGACAGGATTCTGCTCCCAGGTGTCAGCCCGGCAAGCTTCCACAGCCCACACATGGAGGGCAGTAGAGCCGACCTTGTCCTTGAGGGCAGGAACATGAGGATGCTGGGTCACTTCATGGTCTTTGAGCAGCAACCATGGGCTAGGCATTGTTCGATTCGGGAGTGGGTCTAGGAGGTATGACCATTCCTGCGCTTCTGAGACTTACAGTCTAAAAAGAACCAGACTGTCCAACAGAGAAGCAGCGATGACCCATGATCTTCTCAGGATGGCTGGTGATCATCCCCAGAATCCTGGGAAGAGGTTAGAATTTTGTGATCAGAAGGGCTTTCGTGGAGGACGAGGCTCTCAAGCTAAGCAGGGTCTCAACATGTTGGTTCTGCCAGGAAGCCCGTCCCATGTGCTCAGGCAGAAAGCAGCATGGGTGGGTGGGTGTTGGAGGCCACGGTTCAGAACCCACGACCCTTCATAATCTTAACTTATGATGTTGAAGGGACCAAAAAATAAGAATTTTGTCAGAAGCATTTGGAGATCCACCTCTGCCCACTTCTTATTTCCTTATTCTGGAACATAGTTGGAAATGGTGGGCCATGGCTGTCCTTGAGAGACTAGGTCTAAGAGTCCAAGACTACATAGGTACAGAAACAAAAGGCCCTGGGGAGGGGTGGGGTAGAGTTCACAAGGCACATACAGGGTACACAGGGCAATGTGACGTTGTCCCGAGCCTGAACTACTCACGGAGCAAAACCCATTTCCAGAGCAATTGTAAGTTCCTAGAATTCCCTAGCTGCTGTTAAAGCAGGAACCTGAGGGTGAGGGGCGGCAGGTGACCAGGTGACCATTGTCCCAGATGGCTTGTATTTTTATTATAGCACAAGACTAGCAGCTCACTTACTCAGCACATAGGCTGTACCAGGCACGATCCTAAGCACTTTGTACGTATTAAATGATCCTCACCCAACCACCATTTTCAGACAAGGAAACTGAGGCCCAGGAAGGTTTAGTGACTTGTGTGAGGTCGCTCCAGCCCCAGTCTATTCCTCGGCCCCCATCCTGCCCACACACATGGCCCCAGGACCTGAGGGCCGCTCTGAGTTGGTCTCTGCCCAGTAGGATTTTGTAAGGCCTGGAGCTGGAGTTCTGTTCTCTCTACCTTTGCTTTCACCTTATGTGCCTTTGAATGTTGGCATTTTCAAGGTGCAGAAAGACGCTAGCGTGTGTCTTTTTACTCTTGCACAGGTGGGCCTGTGGTGGACGCAGATGCTAAGAGGTCGGTGACATCGCCAAGCGAAAGGTAAGGGAAATAAAAAATAAAATCCACACATAACCCCGAAGTGTTAGTTTTTAGACCATGGGAAGTTTCCCTTGTTTTGTTAGATATTCTTTATTCGAAAGGATTTGGGGATTTTAAGACTATGTTCAATTGACACCCTTAATTGTATAACTGGTAAGAACGTTAATATTAAATTAACTAGTTAGTTTTGTGTTCAGTCGCTAGTGGGAAAGGGAGCTAGGTTGTCGTGGATATCGGGGGATTTGAGTACAGCGTGTCCCGATGCCTGTGGTCACTTCTCACCCCACCCGGCTTGTCCTGACAAGGGTTCCCTTCTCTTTTCAGCTGTGGCCCCATCAGTGTGAAAACTGAGCCGATGGAAGATACGGGTATGTATACACCGATGCCTTCCGGAATCAAGTATTTAGCATGTTATCATTTGACTCCTTTCTTTTGTTTTACTTCTAAAAAATGAGACTTTCAGTAAAGAAGAAAGGGTGGGGCACTTTCTCAATGGGACAAAAAAAAAAAAATCTACAAAAAGCCAACCGCTGGGGGGTGGGGGGATGGGTTAGCCTGGTGATGGGTATTAAAGAGGGCACATTCTGCGTGGAGCACTGGGTGTTATGCACAAACAATGAATCATGGAACACTACATCAAAAACTAATGATGTAATGTATGGTGATTAACATAACAATAAAAAATTATTAAAAAAAAAAAAAGCCAACCGCTAACATCACACTTAGTGAGAAACTAGAACTTTTCAGGGGCACCTGGGTGGCTCAGTTGGTTAAGCGTCTCCCTTCGGCTCGGGTCATGATCCCAGGGTCCTGGGATCGAGCCCCACATCGGGCTCCCTGCTCGGCGGGAAGCCCGCTTCTCCTTCTCCCACTCCCCCTGCTTGCGTTCCCTCTCTCGCTGTCTCTCTCTCTGTCAATTAAATAAATAAAATTTTTTTAAAAAAATAACAAAAACAACAATTAGTCTTTCTCCCAGTTCCATGTGTTGGCTGGGCGGTCCCTCCACTCTGGGCTGGCCTTGCTCCTGGGTCTGAGGCCTCCGCCGGGAGAGCTGGGCCTCTCTCCTCACGGTCTCACACCCTCCGGGAGGCTAGCCCAAACTCATTCACATGGCCACTCAGTTCCAGAGCAGGAGCCCGGATGCACCAGCACTTTCCAGGCCTCGGCTTTTGCATCCTGTTGGCCCCTGTCCCATTGGCCAAAGCGAGCCACATGACCAGGCCCAGTTTTAAAGGGTGGAGAAGTAGCCTCCACATCTAGAAAAGGGGGAGAGACATTGCAGACAAGCCAGGCGTGCACTGTTGGGATGGGGGAGAAGCCTATGGCTAGTTTTGCAGCCTACCACACTTTTCCCTGATGAAAGGCTTTTGGTTTCACTAAGGTGGTTCCCCCCAGGGTTTGCAATTTTGAAATCCACTCCATTGTAGTAGGTGAGTTGAGATTACGTGTGCCACCGGGTGATGTACGGAAGTATTAAATCACCATGTTGTATACCTGAAACTAATATTACACTGTATGTTAACTAACTGGAATTTAAATAAAAACTAAAAAAAAATGTATATATATATATACACACATATATATATATATATATATATGTGTGTGTGCCAGTTTAGGTCCCATTACAGAATATTTACTGCGGTTTTGCATAAACACAGGGGTACATGCCCTGTCTTGAAAGGGAACATTTTTCTCAAGCTGGGAACTTGGCCTTCTTCTCTTCCTTCTCTCCCTCCCTCCTTCTTGCCCTTTTAGATTGATTTTATGTTGTTTTGTTGCTATGACTTATATTTTTACATGGGTTACCCGTTTGCTCAGAGAGCGTCAGCTCCATGTCATTTTGCTGACTCCCGGGTCCCCATGTTAATCACGACAGAGCCTGGAGTTTCAACAGCTCACAGTTCTCTGTGGGTCGCTGTGGCCTAACACATGGTTTTATCATTTTCATTGCATCCAAAGGCACGGCGGGGAAAGAGGTGGCTGTGTCGGTCAAGAAGGAATCGGAAGATCCTAATTACTATCGATATAACATACAAGGTAATACCATTTTGTCCTCATTTTCTTCCCTAAGAGTTATTGGTGACGGAAAATTGTAATTAGCCCCTGTCCAAAAAACAGGCAGAGAGTAATAAGAAAAGACCCATGTTCCTGGGATCTAGCATAGGGCCATTTGACGTAAAGCATTTTTTTTAGGATTTTATTTATTTATTTGAGGGGGAGAGAGAGAGCACGAGAGGGAAGAGGGTCAGAGGGAGAAGCAGACTCCCCGCTGAGCAGAGAGCCCGATGCGGGGCTCGATCCTGGGACTCCAGGATCATGACCTGAGCCGAAGGCAGACACTTAACTGACTGAGCCACCCAGGCACCCCTGGTGTAAAGCATTTTACAGTCATGAAATAGATCCCGTGTAGCCTAAACCCACATGCCTCAAGGCAAATGTGAGGGTAAAGGGAATCCAGGGTGTATGTTACTTGAGTTTGTCTGTTAGGTATTCTTATTTTGTGTGTCCAGTAATATTGGGCTGGGTGGCTCGGTCGGTTAAGCGTCCGATTCTTGATCTCGGCTCAGGTCTTAATCTCAGGGTCGTGAGTTCGAGCCCTGCCCTGGGCTCTGTGCTGGGCGTGGAGCCTACTTTAAAAAAAAAAAGACAAAACAACATCTCTCTGATCCTCTCCTGTCCGGTCTTTCCCTAAATTACTGGGAAAGTATCAGAAGTTAAAAGACATAAATATGAGAGTGAAGAAATTCAGGTGCCCGTTCTTAATAATATTCGCTTCATTGACATCATACAAGTTAAACGGGGAACAGAAGACACAGATTACCAGAGATGCACACTTTTCACACGGGGCACAGGTAGGTGGTCTGTGTAGTTGCCTGGCTAGGGCCTCTCCCCAGAGACCAGAATCCTGCTGGACCCCCCAGTGTGATACCAGTTTGACGACAGGACGTTGTAGCATCAGTGGGAACGGATCCTGTCTCGTCTTTGACTCCTCTGTGAATGCAGGCAGACTGTGGGACAATTCCCAATTAATTCCTCAAACATGACCAGGTTTGAAATGTTTCCTACAGAAATCTTACCTTTGAAATATTCCTGCAACATTACTGAGCTCTGTAACTTACAGTAAAAAACACTTTTTCAAAAACTAAAGACCAATGAGAGTGTTGGTTGTCATTGCTCTGTCCTGGGCCGGTCCCCCCACCCCACCCCCCCACACACAGCTGGTCTGTTGCGGTCCCTTAGGATCCCTTTTCAATCCATCCTACCCCCTGTCCCCCAATCATTTATTCCTAGAGAACGGGGTCTGTCACCTCCCTCCCCTGCTCACACACCGTCTGTGGCTCCTCATCACCGGTGTCTTCCATCACTGTTTCTAGCCTCCCTTCCTATTCTGTCTGCCTCCCACCACGATCACCCTCCCTAAGTTCTTCAGACACCCTGCTCAGGGTGATTCCTGAAACATGCCCTGAATCCTCCTTCCACCGGCTTTTATATAAGCCGATCCCTCCGTGTGATTCTCTTCTGGCTCTGCAGGCTTCCAGCAACTTCCACCCCTTTCTGGGCACAATCAGAATCTCAAGTAGAGCAGGGAGCCTTCAGCCCCCGAAGTGCACACAGTCTTTAGCGCTGCCTGCTTGTGTGGTATTTATGCTTTTGCTGCAGACAGATGGCCCCAGCCAGGGGCGGGCTCCTGGGGGGGAGGACACAGCAGTCCTCCCCCAGCTTGGAGCCCCAGGGCCCCAAGCCCAGGGCCGTGCACACAGCAGGCACTCACGTGTGCTTGCTGAACTGAGCGCGTCCCTCACAAAGAATCAGTGTAATCTGTTTCTCAGTCACTCCCGTTTTGAAAAAAAGTTCATATGATTGCATCTTGACTCCCAAGAATATCCTTTTCAACTTAACTGACCTTGAGGTTTATCAAAATGTGTACAGTTGGGGGAATCTAGGTTATTACGTGTCTGCTCCCAAAGGCAGCCGTGAAATAAATAAATGATTAGATAGACATACCTACAATCATTCTATTTCAGTTTTTCAGAAAGAAGCACATTATTTGAAGAACAACCCTTAGGCTAAGTATATAATTTATAATCTTTCTCCTGCTTGGCTTGGAAATGACAGGACTCAAGACATCTTCTTTGTACAAAAGCTCCTTAAGTGGGGCCCCTTGCTTCTTGATGCCCAAAGGGTAAAAATTGCCTGACATCACAGACTGTATTCCACGGTACTGAATGTTTTTGCAACCATTTAGATAAAATCCTCACATGTTGAAGTACTGACGTAAGTAAGGGAGAAATGTTTAAATTCATAAAGGCAACAAGTGCCCCCTGCTCCGAATGTCAACTAGCCTTTGTGGAGCTCCCAGTGACCTCAGCTGTGGCTCCACCAGGGCCCAGGGGCTTGTGGAAGGTTTATATGAAAGTCTGACTCCCCATCCCACCCCAGCCCACCTGGACCTCGCCATCCACCTGCAACACAGACCTCTCGGAAGAACCCTGAGTCACATGCACACATCCATGACTTGGCCAACATGGAGACCATGGACGTCCCATGAGGTCTTTTATATGTGCAGGGACCCCATCTCCGGGGCCCCTGGGAATGGAGAATGCACAGGACCAGCTTTGCTGAGATACACTGCGCCCAGGTTCCCTTGACATTGGCAGAGGTAAGAGTCTCAACGCCATGCAGTTTTCTTCCCAGCTGACACTGCCCGATCTGGGAGAGAAGCCTTCCAGGCAGAGGGGAAAGTGGATACAAAAGCCCAAGATCAAGGAACTGACACTGTCTTTCCCACATCCCATCACTGACATGGACTCCTGTACTTCCCTGTTCTACACATAAATGCCCCTCTGATTATGTTGAGCCCAGATAATGCAGGATAATCTCCTTTTGTGAAGGTCAGCTGGCGAGCAAACTTAATTCCATCTACCACCTTAATTGCCTCTTGCCCTGTACCATATGAGATTCACAGGTTTTGGATATCCGTGGGAGGCCATCTACCTACCACAAATTCGGAAAATTGAATGCCAACATTAAGTAACCTCAATTAAACAGACAAGAATAAGAATAAGAACTGTTTTAACTCAACAACAAAAACACAAACTACCCGATTTAAAAATGGCTAAATGAGGGTGCCTGGCTGGCTCAGTTGGTGGAGCATGGGACTCTTGACCTCGGGGTCATGAGTTTAAGCCCCACATTGGGCATAGAGCTTACTTAAAAAAAAATAATAATTTTGGGGGAAAAAACAAGGCTTTTAAAAAGTCATAAAGTGTCCCCGTTTTACAACCCCCAATGAAGCCATGCATCTTGGCAATAATCATCAGTGGCCAGTAAAGCCATTCATAAAACGTTGATGGGGACGTTATCACAAATGGATTCGGTTGACATTTCCTGAACTTACTGGTCCAAAGGTTTGGAGGTGAGCAGACTTCGTGTGCCTCCTGACAGGATCGAGTAGGAGGTGCACCTTGGGGATGCTTGCCCCCCCCCGGCAAAATCAAACCTAAGTCTGATCCAGCCTCTAGATCTACCCACCAGTTGTTTTTTTTTTTTTAAGATTTTATTTATTTATTTGACAGACAGAGACATAGTGAGAGAGGGAACACAAGCAGGGGGAGTGGGAGAGGGAGAAGCAGGCTTCCCACTGAGCAGGGAGCCTGACGTGGGGCCCGATCCCAGGACCCCGGGATCATGACCTGAGCCGAAGGCAGACACTCAACAACTGAGCCACACAGGCGCCCCTTGATCTACCCACCAGTTTGCAGGAAACACGGGGGATAGAGGAACTATATGAAGACGCCACGAGGATGCAGGCAGGAAACTCCAGAATGGAAGGAACACAACAAGGTGGATTTCTTCATCGAATGATGGCAAGTTAAAAAAAGAAATGGAGAGAAACCTGTTTTATAGTAAAAGATATTTGAGACATTTCAGCCAAATGCAGCATGTGGGCTCTGTTGGGGTCTTGATTTGAACAAACCAGCTACAGCCTGGGTGGCTCAGTCGGTTGGGCGGCTGCCTTCGGCTCAGGTCATGATCTTGGAGTCCAGGGATCGAGTCCTGCGGCGGGCTCCCCGCTTGGCGGGGAGTCTGCTTCTCCCTCAGACCCTCCCCCCTCTCATGTGCTCTCTCTCTCTCTCTCATTCTTGCTCTCTCAAATAAATAAATAAAAATCTTAAAAAAAAAAAAAAAGAAAGACATTTATGGATTCCTGTGGAATGCCAAGTGCTGGGTAGGAGTGCTGAAATTGGAAAACTGCCATTTTGTAACCATTGTAATAAAAGACCGGGTCAAGCAGGAGTCACCAGTGGATTCGGCATCTAGAGAGAAATCTAGAAAAGGAGTGGAATACTTAAACAACCTTAACATTTCTCCACCCACAAGCTGCTTGTTAGTTGCAAGAGGGAGGAAGAAATGGTAATTATCCAGTGGAGAAATCAAGCAACACCCTGACTCAGCGATCAAGGTTAACATCACCAGTGAGGGGCAGGTGGACACCGCCTTAGTCCGTTCAGGCTGCTAAAACAGAATACCATAGACTGGAGACAGGTTGGCTGGTGGGGGGGGGTGGGGAATGATAAACAACAGAAATGTATGTCTCGCCACTCTGGAGGCTGTGAAGTCTAAGACCAAGGTGCTGGCAGTCTGATGAGGACCCCCCTCCTGGTGCATAGATGAACATCTTCTTGCTGTGTCCTCACATGGTGGAAGGGGTGAGGGAGCTCTCTGGGGGGCCCCTTTCCAAGGGCACTAATTCCATTCCTGAGGGCTCCACCCTCGTTTCGTAAGCACCTCCCAGCGGCGCCATCACCAAATACCAACACGTTGGGGGTTAAGATTCCAACTCATGAATTTCAGGATGACCCACACATATCTGCCTCTACACGTGGTACCCTGGGGAGGACACACCATCATCTCAGCAGTAGTAGTCTGGCCAAGAATGCAAAACTTGAATCTTTGCACGAGGAAACATCAGACCAACTCAAAATAAGGTTAAATGAGAAGAAAGAGAAATGAGAACAAAAAAAACAATGTCTGGCCCCAAACTGGATCCCGCACTGGAGGAGGGAAAGCTATTAAGCATTCAGAGGTGAAGGGCCACGGTCTATATAACTTTCCTCAGATGGGTCAGAGAAAGAGAAAAGGATGTCCTGTATACCTACATCGATCTGTCTACATAGGAAAATGGGGGCAGGGGGGCAAAGATTGAACATGATCAAAGGAAACCGTAAACTGTTACCCATATGTCATGTGAGTAGAGGGTATGTGGCTCCTCTCTGTACTATTTACTTTTTGTGACTTTTCTGTAAATTTGAAACTATGTCCAAATATAACATTAAAAAAAAAAGATATTTACAAGACAATTGAAGAAATTTGCACAGTGATTAGATATGAGCTGATGATAAAGAAGAGTTGTTGGTTTGGGGGGAATCTTGATGTGGTGAAGGTGAAGGACGAGTCATTACGTCTTACTTGCACATGCGCAGTCTGTGCACCCCGACCCTGCCGGACCTGGGATTTACTTCAACAACAGGTGCAGGTGCGGGGGCGTGCAGAAAAATAGGATATGGAGCTGGTGGCTGTTGGCACTGGAGATGGACACATGGCATCATTCTACCATCTCTGCTTTTGTAGGTTTGAAACTTCACCAAAGTGCAGATAAAACAACAAAGAAGAAGTGCAAAGAAAGTCTCATTTGTGTGAATTTTATTTCAAGGATTCGGAGTATTTCTCATGTACATTCCTGTGTGGGTCTTGAACTGTTGGCTTGGTTTTAAATGAATTCTTGTTTACATTTTCTATTTTGGCCTTTTTTTTTTTAATATATTGTTTGCTTCCCTTTCAGAAAACCAGCATCCTTGTGCAAGCGGCGAAGTAATAGAAATGGAATTACCAATGGAAGGTTAGAGAAGCCAGGCATTTTAGCTTCTTTTTGGTTTTGTTGTTCTAGTTTACAGTGTTTTGCAGAGAACATGGTCTTTTAAACACCCATGACACATGTCTGAAAATAAGGCAGCTTCCCGGCTTGCCACCTTAGAAAACCAGCCGATCTTAGCGCTAAAATGTGGTCTTACTGTCACTCTTCCTTTTCTGATCTATGAGTGATTCTCCTTAAAGCACCTGGATTAGAAGTTGTGTGGTAAGAAAACTTCACATCTGGGCCATTTGTTGCTTTATTCCATTTGTCTTCTTGCTGGTCATACCAAATTTCCTTTTTTTTTTTAATTTCTTTTTTTTTTTCAATTTTTTTTTTCAATTTTAAGTACACTCTACACCACACATGGGGCTCGAACTCACAACCCCACCATCAAGAGTTGCACACTCCACTGACAGCCAGACAGGTGCCCCCCCCCCGCCCCCGCCAAATTCTTTTGAACAGGGTTGAAAAGTATTTTAGGAAATTTTTTTAAGAGTTTATTTATTTATTTGAGAGAGAGAGAGCAGGAGTGGGGGGAGCGGGGGCAGAGGAAGAGGGAAAAGCAGACTCCTTGCTGATCAGGGAGCCCAAGGATGTGGGGCTCAATCCCAGGACCCCGGGATCATGACCTGAGCCGAAGGCAGACGCTTAATCGACTGAGCCACCCAGGCAACCCTAGGAAATTCTTGAATCAGAAGTAAAATTTGATAGTACTTCCCTCCCTGTGTGTATAAATCTTGAGCATTGTGTATAAGGCCTGAACTCTTAAAATGGTTTATACATGTCCAAGGTAAAATGAATAAAGGAAATTTCCTCCCCAAACCTAGAGGCATGGGACATCTTTGTCAGTTTACAGGCAAGAAGACCTTGCTTTTAGGAGTCAGATGTCTATCTTGGTTCCAAAATGATTTGTATTTTTCTCTAAGTCAGAGGCATTCTCCAGGGAGCTAATGTGTGGTCATTTTTAATAGCTTCTGTGATTTGGGGGCATCTGGGGTTCTTTATCGTAGGGGACAGTTCCAATGGCTACCTGAACATTTTGTTCAATTCTCTGACCTAAAATAGTTTTGATATATTTTACCAGAGAACCTACTATGTTCTGGTGCAGGGTTAGAATCATTCATTCACTCACAGAATTAATCTTTTTTTTTTTAAGATTTTATTTATTTATTTGACACACAGAGAGAGCGAGAGAGAGAGAGGGAGAGAGCACAAGCAAAGCAGGGGGAGCGGCAGGCAGAGGGAGAAGCAGACTTCCCGCGGAGCAGGGAGCCCGATGTGGGGCTCGATCCCAGGACCCTGGGACCATGACCTGAGCTGAAGGCAGCGGTTTAACCAACTGAGCCACCCAGGCACCCCCAGAATTAATCTTCTTAAACTTAATTGCTTTAAACCAAGAAGACAAGCCCCTCTGTCATTATTCAACTTCCATTTACTTTTCTAAATTATACATTTTTTTTTACTGTGGTTTAAAAAACACACCACAGGGGCACCTGGGTGGCTCAGTCGGTTAAGCATCTGCCTTCGGCTCAGGTCGTGATCTCAGGGTCCTGGGATCAAGCCCCACATCCCGATGTGACACATCCCCCTGGGGTTCATCCATGTCATAACGTGTGACAGGATTCTGCCATTTATTTTTCGTTGTTTTTTCCTCAACCCCGTCTCTGACCTTCTCTGGATGTTGGGGAGGACAGGGATTTCAAATTCAGTTTAAATCTGTTCCTCCCTTGCATCATTTTCTTTCCCTTGGTTGAAGCCCGTTGAGACATGTTCTGTGGGGGCACCCGGCAGGCTCAGTCAGCCAACTCAGCACACAACTCTGGATCTCAGGGTCGTGAGTTCAAGCCCCACACTGGACGCGGAGCCTACTTAAAATAAAAATAAAAATAAATAAAAATGAAAAAAACATTGTTCTGTCATTCTTTTTAAAGGATAGAACATATTTAGGAGGAGGAAGACCTACATGAGAGTCCAGGTAGAGCTGGTGTGGAGTGACAGAAAGATGTCACTGGATGTTGGTCTTTGAAATACCTTGTTTCTGAAGAGGTTTTCTTTAAGTGTATTGATTTATTTTTTTAGTAATCTCTACACCCAGCGCGGGGCTCGAACTCACAATCCCCTGAGATCAGGAGTCACGCGCTCTGCCGACTGAGCCAGCCAGGCGCCCCCAAGAGATTTCTATTATTACAGTATAGCGGGAAGCCTATTTATGATACAACCAAATTAGTTTGTTTTTTTTTTTTTTTTGTAAACTTTTTATGTTGAAGCAATTAAAGATTGTCAAGAAGCTGCAAGAACAGTCAGAGAGGTCTGGTGTGTCTTCACCCATTTTTCCCCCAGACGTTACATCTTACCTTCCAATAGTCCAATATCCAACAGCTAATTAGTTTAGAGTCTTTCTTCCTCTACGAACAATTGATGGAAGAATGCCATCAGGCTCAGAGGACAGTGGTCTCCAAAGGTCTGGGCTGATGGAAGCTTTCTAAAATGAGCCAGAGTTAGGCGAGAATGTTCCAGCCAGGCTTGTGTCTGTGTGTCATAATTCTGGCAAACTAGAAAAATCAGTTGTGCCTCTAGTGTGATAGCAGACTGAACCCCAGGGGATTGCTGGCAGGGGAACCGCCCCCCAAAGCACCCGGCTTTCTTTTATCCGAGTGATTTCTGATGAGAGCAAGAAAATGCTTATGACCAGAGAAATTCCATTACCTCCAATAGAAGGACATTCCGTGTCCACTAACGTGGGTAACTGGGTACTGTTTCACAGTATCTGAGAGTTTCTTGCCTCCCCTTGTCCCTTATAAGGTTACCCTTTCTTACCCTCCGATCCCTCTTAAAGTTAAAATTATTAGGGACGCCTGGCTGGCTCAGTCAAAAGAGCATGAGGCCCTTGATCTCGGGGTCATGAGTTCGAGCCCCACGTTGGGTGTAGAGATTACTACAAAATAATAAGTAAAAATAAATATTTAGGTCTTTCATCCATTTTGAGTTTATCTCTGTGCATGGTGTAAGAAAACAGTCCAGTTTCATTCTTCTGCATGTGGCTGTCCAATTTTCCCAACACCATTTGTTGAAGAGACTGTCTTTTTTTTCCATTGGATATTCTTTCCCGCTTTGTCAAAGATTAGTTGACCATAGAGTTGAGGGTCCATTTCTGGGGCTCTCTATTCTGTTCATTGATCTATGTGTCTGTTTTTGTGTCAGTACCATACTGTCTTGATGATGACAGCTTTGTAGTAGAGCTTGAAGTCCGGAACTGTGATTCCGCCAGCTTTGGTTTTCTTTTTCAACAATCCTCTGGAGGGGGGATTATGCTGAGCAAAATAAGTCAATCAGAGAAAGACAATTATCATATGGTTTCACTCATAGGAGGAATATAAGAAACGGTGCAAGGGATCATAGGGGAAGGGAGGGAAAACTAAATGGGAAGAAATCAGAGAGGGAGACAAATCATGAGAGACTCTTAACTCTAGGAAATAAACTGAGGGTTACTGGAGGGGAGGTGGGTGGGGTGATGGGGTAACTGGGTGATGGCATTAAGGAGGGCATGTGATGTGAGGAGCACTGGGTGTTAATATGTAACTGATGAGTCACTGACCTCTACCTCTGATGTACTATATGTCGGCTAACTGAATTAAAATTTTAAAAATAGAAGTAAATAAAAATTAAAAAAAAATAAAATTACTTTCACATTTATACTTTTACATGTTGTTAAGTATGAAATGTGTTTTAAATGCCAGGCTAAGCTACTGTTTGGGTACAGGAGCAGTAAAAGGTTGGAACATGAGAATACATAATAATGAATGTCATTTTAGAAATTTTTTTTTCAAGATTCCATTCCGCGTGTCACTTCAGAAACGGGTGAGGACCCCGAGGCCGAGGTGAAAATTGAAGGTTGGTTGCCAAAAAACTCGTCAGAGTGAGGCTGTTGAGTGTGGCTTTCACTTCTTCTTAAAGGGTTATTGTGGGGAAAAGATTGAAACTGGCTTCGGGGTGTGTGTGTGTTTTAGGCCATGCAGATCAGCACTGGCCAGGGAGCAGACTGTGCTCCATGCCCAGTGAGGGAAGAAAGAAGGGGGATGGACTGGGGCCTAGAAGCCATGAACTCAGTTTAACTGCAAGGATCTAAAGGAAGTCAAGTTCAAAGTGTGGTTTTAACAAGATTTATTTTTTAAGAGCCACTATGTAAGAAAATTTTCTTTAAAAGACTGACAGACTGACATGTAATCTGTTTGGTTTTTGTTTGGATGTCTGTTTAAAAACCACATCCGATAGTTACAAACATATTCTAAGGATATTCTTTACAATTGAAAGGTTTTTAAAACATTTTTGACTTTTCATAGAAATGAATGACACCATTGATCCTGGAACTTGTGGATTTTGAACCCATTTAGTTGAAAGAATGTGCCTATTTTCTTTCGTTGTGATCCACTTGGTCATCTGCTAAGAAATATTTTCTTTTTTTAAGATTTTATTTATTTATTTGAGAGAGAGAGAGAACACAAGCAGGGAGAAGGGGAAGAGGGAGAGGGAGCAGACTCCCCACTGAGCAGGGAGCCCAATTCGGGGCTCGATCCCAGGACCCCGTGATCATGACCTGAGCCAAAGGCAGACGCTTAGCCTGCTGAGCCACCCAGGTGCCCTTGCTAAGAAACATTTTCATCTCTGCTGCTGGAATATGAGCTGGTCCCCAGTATCTCTCTAATATGAGAAGGAGAAGTTTTTATTTTCCATATTTATTAATGTTATGGATCTCAGAATTACTGTCATTAAGTATATGTTTTGTTTTTCAAGATTGCTTTGGCTACTTGGGGTCTTTTATTTGGATTCCGTACAAATTTTAGGATTATTTGTTCTAGTTCTGTGAAAAATGTTGTTGGTATTTTGATAGGGATTGCACTGAATGTGTAGAGTGCTCTGGGTAGTACGGACTTTTTAACAATATTTGTTCTTCCAACCCATAAGCATGGAACGTTTTTCCATTTTTGTGTCATCTTGAATCTCTTTCATCGGTGTTAGTTTTCAGAGTACAGGTCGTTCACCTCTTCGGTTAAGTTTATCCCTAGCTATTTTATTGTTTTTGGTGCAACTGTAAATGGGATTGTTTTCTTAATTTCACTTCCACTGCTTCATTACTGGTGTATGGGAACGCAACAGATTTCTATCGTTGATTTTGTATCCTGCGACTTTACTGAATTCATTTATCAGTTCTAGTAATTCTTCGGTGGAGTCTAGGGTTTTCTACATGTTAGTCTCGTGTCGTCTGCAAATAGAGCTTTACTTCTTCCTTACCAATTTGGATGACTTTCATTTCTTTATGTTGTTTAATTGCTATGGGAGTCCTTTTATTTTTTTTTTTTTAAGATTTTATCTATGTGGGCGCCTGGGTGGCTCAGTTGGTTAAGCGACTGCCTTCGGCTCAGGTCATGATCCTGGAGTCCCAGGATAGAGTCCCACATCGGGCTCCCTGCTCGGCAGGGAGTCTGCTTCTCCCTCTGACCCTCTTCCCTCTCGTGCTCTCTCTCTCTCATTCTCTCTCTCTCAAATAAATAAATAAAATCTTAAAAAAAAAGAGAAAAAAGAAAAAAGAAAAGATTTTATCTATGTATTTGAGAGAGCGAGAGCACGGGGGAGGGGGAGGGGCAGGGGGGGTAGGGGGCGAAAAGCAGACTCCCCGCTGAGCAGGGAGCCCGACTTGGGGCTCGATCCCAGCACCCTGAGATCATAACCTGGGCCAAAGGCAGATGCTGAACTGGCTAAGTCACCCAGGCGCCCTGGGAGTGCTTTTATTTAGAGACTCTTTAAAAATTAACCATTTTGGAGTAAATGATTCAGTAGCTTTTGTACATTCGCAGTGTTGGGTAACCACCACCTCTATCTAGTTCGAAAACATTTTCATCTCCCCAAAAGAAGATCCCATACCCATTACCAGTCCCTCCCGTTCTTCCCTCCCCCAGCCCCTGGTACCCACCAGTCTACTCTCTGTCTGTATGGCTTTACCTTTTCTACATATTTCATACAGGTGGGATTGTACAATGTGTGCCCTTTGGGGCCTGACTTCTTTCACTTAAAATCTCCAGGGGCATCTCAGGGTCGTAAAATCGAGCCCTGTGTCGGGCTCCGTGCTGAGCGTGGAACCTGCTTAGGATCTCTCTTTCCCTCTCCCTCTGCCCCTCCCCCCCCCGCTCATGCGCACTCGTGTGCTCTCTCACTCAAAAAAAATTAAAAATAGGGCGCCTGGGTGGCTCAGTTGGTTAAGCGTCTGCCTTCGGCTCAGGTCATGATCCTGGAGTCCCGGGATTGAGCCCCGCATCAGGCTCCCTGCTCAGCGGGGAGTCGGCTTCTCCCTCTGACCCTCACCCTGCTTGCACTCTTTCTCTCTTTGACAAATAAATAAATAGATAAAATCCTTTTAAAAGGGGGGGGTTAAAAAAAAAGAATATAACTTGTCAAACCACTGTGTTGTACACCTGAAACTAACGCAACATTGAATGTCCACTCTATTTTAACGAAAAAAAGGAAGAAAAAGAAACAATATAAAGAATCCCACATTAGAATCCAAGTACAGCAGTGATTTGAATGCAGGTTGATGGAAATGTTCTCCAAGATGGCCTCTCCACTCTGCTCTTCTCTTGTGGGGCATCATGCATGTACAGGGACTACAAGCCCAATCACCTTTTTGTTCTGGAGAGCAGTTTTCTAAAGGATTCGCTATAAATTATTTGGTAGATAATGACCATGCTGCCTCTAGCAACAGACTGTGACATTTGGAAGCCCATCTGTTGGTGTGTTCTTGTCCTTTATCTGACAATGGTTATTATGATGGCTTATGGAATATGGAACCAGATGAGCACTTTTATTTTTTAAAAGATTTATTTATTTATTTGAGAGAGAGAAAGCATGCAGGGCAGAGGGGCAGAGGGAGACGGAGAGACTCTTAAGCAGACTCTGCACTGAGCATGGAGCCCAACTTCCTACAGCCAATTGTTCTCTGAAGCTTTTTTTTTTTTTTAAGATTTTATTTATTTATTTGACAGAGAGACACAGCAAGAGAGGGAACACAAGAGGGGGAGTGGGAGAGGGAGAAGCAGGCTTCCCGCTTAACGACTGAGCCACCCAGGCGCCCCTGTTCTCTGAAGCTTTAAAAGTTGAGTCTGTGCCTCTGATCAGAATGGCACATGGACATTTTTAGAGGAGAATTAACCTAATTTTCTTTAAGTTCTAAATTTCAGTTTCTGTTTTTAGGAAGCACAAATTCATCCAGTATTACAAATTCTGCGGCAGGTGTGGAAGATCTTAACATTGTTCAGGTGACAATTCCAGGTATGGAAGTCTATCTGGTGTTATTGTAATTGACTTTATATTTTTCTTTTTGTTATATTTTAACCATTATATAACATGGGTCATAAACCCTTGGAACTTTTTTTTTTTTTTGCTTAGTTTACCCCTTCAACTAAGGAATGACAATTCAGGAATGTAAAATACACTACAGATTGTCAGACACTGAATATCTTGCTTATCTCAGAGATCGTTAATCAGATATATTACTTATCACAGCCATGCCTTGGCATTACTAGAAAATACACCTCAGGGCAGACAACTCCAAGCACCAGCTCCCATTAAATAAGAATTGGCCGGGGCGCCTGGGTGGCTCAGTTGGTTAGGCGACTGCCTTCGGCTGAGGTCATGATCCTGGAGCCCCGGGATCGAGTCCCGCATCAGGCTCCCTGCTCAGTGGGGAGTCTGCTTCTCCCTCTGACCCTCCCCCCTCTCATGTGCGCATGCTCTCTCTCTCTCATTCTCTCTCTTTCAAATAAATAAATAAATCTTAAAAAAAAAATAAGAATTGGCCACAGAGGTGGAATTTATCTGCTGCCCGTCAAGCAATCTTTTCTGAATATGTGTATGTAAAATATCTGGAAAGATACAAAAGAATCTGATAACATAATTTCCCCAAGGAAGGAAACAGAGCTGAGAGAGGGATGTGAGAGAAATGTTTCACTGTGCGTTGTTCTAGGTCTTGTGAGTTTTGAAACATGTGATTGCTTTAGTTATTCAAAATTAAATACAATAAAAATGTTAACTATTGAAAAATAGTCCCTTCTAATCCTACTACATCTTCTTCCTTTTACTTGTCATATTGCATTGACTCAGATTGCTATTATACTGTTGAAGAGTAGAGGTGAAAGTGGACATCCTGGTCCTACATAATGTTGAAAATGTTCCGTAAGGTAGTATGGAGTGTGTTTACATGGATTTATAATTTGGGAAATTCTCTGTCATCTCTAATGGCGTCCATTTGCACATTTCCAAAAAACTAAACTGGATGACAAGCCAGGTAAAGTGCTTTTTTCAGGTGCTGTCAGGCACTTCCTCCAACAGCTTTTTTGGAGGTAAATTTATCAATAACCCCAGTTTGCTTGATTGTCTAATTGTTTTTAGATAACGAGAAGGAAAGATTATCCAGCATTGAAAAGATAAAACAACTAAGGGAACAAGTCAATGACCTCTTTAGCCGAAAATTTGGTAAGTTTTTATATTGTTACGTATCCAAAATGTATATATTTGAGGTATTTCTTTTTAATGGAATACTTTATTGATCTTTCTGGGGGCACCTGGCTGGCTCAGTCAGAAGAATGTGCGACTCTTGATCTAGGGGTCGTGAGTTCGAGCCCCATGCTGGGTGTAGAGCTTACTAAAAAAATTTTTTTAATAAAATAATTATATATAAAAAAAAGAAATTGATCTTTCTGGGGAAGGAGCTATGATCAAAATCAGCATGTATTTTTCCTGAAGAGCTTTTACATGGACACACTAATCGCAATAATAATATCTAACTTTGATTTACCCAGTTCTTACCGTGGCTGAGCATTGCTTTCAGCACTCACATGTGAATCATTATTTAATCTTCATAAAACCCTTTTCCAGGTAGATGCCAGCATCGTTTCTCCTTACTGGAGAGAGAAATTGAATCTGTTTTACTGCCCGTTGCCAATGTCAAAGTCAGTAAGACTCTCCGTGAAGTAATAACGGCCAGTGGCCCACGTTGTCACTGGACGGGAAGGATTTTAACATCTCGGCACCGGTCTGGGAAAAGCAGGTGACACACTTAAGCGGTCTTCTGTTGTTTGTCTCCTCGCAGGTGAAGCCATCGGGGTGGACTTCCCTGTGAAAGTTCCCTACAGGAAGATCACATTCAACCCTGGCTGTGTGGTTATCGACGGCATGCCCCCGGGCGTGGTCTTCAAAGCCCCTGGTTACCTAGAAATCAGCTCCATGAGAAGGATCTTGGACGCCGCAGAATTTATCAAATTCACAGTCATTAGGTAGGTGAGCGCTCCCTGCTTGGTCATGAGAATGAACCTGAAGGTCGCCACCTGATCGAGGTGGGGGAGGGGCGCGGTGGGATTTTTTTTTTTTTTTTTTAACCAGGAGGTGGGCTGTGGGGCTCCAAAGCCCAGTGCCTCTCACATTCCTTGTCTCGTATCCCGCTTCTGGGAGCTGTGTGTCCCCGGACAAACGAACTTTGTTGCATTCACCGTGTCTCTTTCTCTTCAGACCGCTTCCAGGCCTGGAGCTTAGCAATGGTGAGTATCCTGGGTGGGTGGCAAGAAAGTCGTCCCAGCACCCACTCTGCGGGGCCACATGTCTTTGCAGGCCCTCCCCATAGGGGGCTTTGCTTCTCAAGCCTTGAGCCTTAGAGCAAAGCATGGTGCTCTTTAGATGCAGTTTAACTGTCCTGCTCGTTATAAAGTCCTTTAATTCTGGTGCTTCACCAGAATTCTCATGCGACAGTTTGAAGGAGCTTGCTGGCACACTGGAATTTGCGAGCCCTTTATGGCAGGGGTGGGGGGCTAGGAACATTTTACTGAACTAGCCCAGCTCAGTGGGTTAATAGCTCCTGCCTGGTAGCCCAGCTCCATCCCCCAGGACACACCCCCCCCCCAGCCCCTGCCTGCCCAGATCTCCCCCCAGTTCAGAGCCTAAAGGGTGCCACCTGGCACAGAGGGGGCTCCCAGGACCCCCTCCGGTGCTGAGGTCAACATCTGTTCTGACTGAGCAATGCCCCGTCCACTGCGCCTGTTCAGTATTCTGAACGTGGCCTCCGGAGTCATTGCAAGCAAGTCATCAGCATCCTGTGGGGTGAGTAAAGCAGATGTAGGGATGTTCTCAGGAGTCTGAGTCACTAGGGCACCTCCTCAGTTCAAGTTGGAAAAACTAAATTATTCTTTGAAAATGCCCGATTGATTATTCTTCCTAAACTCGTCTTGTTGCTGAACGGTTTTCTTTTCTTTTCTTTTTTTTTTTTTGTAGCTTTATTGAGGCACGAGTTACATACCATAAAATTCCCTTGTGTGAGGTATACACCTGTCAGCGATTTTTAATAAATTTACAGAGTTTGGCAAACTGTCACCACAATCTAATATTAGGATGTTTCCGTCACCCCCCAAAAGATCCCTCCTACCCATTTTTCTCTCATTTCCTGTTCCTGCCCCCAGCCGCAGACAACCACTGAATTGACTTACTTTCTTGTCTCGGCCCACATTTTTTTTTTAAGATTTTATTTATTTATTTGACAGAAAGAGACACAGCAAGAGAGGGAACACAAGCAGGGGGAGTGGGAGAGGGAGAAGCAGGCTTCCCACGGAGCAGGGAGCCCGATGCGGGGCTCGATCCCAGGACCCTGGGATCATGACCTGAGCAGAAGGCAGCCACTTAACAACTGAGCCACCCAGGCGGCCCCTCTGCCCACATTTTTTTTTTAATTTTTTATTCTTATGTTAATCACCATACATTACATCATTAGTTTTTGATGTAGTGTTCCATGATTCATTGTTTGTGCATAACACCCAGT